ACATTAAATACCTTTTCTAACTTGATTTAAATGACATTGGTGTTTCTATTCTATTCGTCGTCACATTTCACCAATCATATATATATATATATATATATATATATATATATATATATGCCAGTTTCTTACGGACACGATTGACTGACAGAAGCATCGGTTAGTAAGACCATTGCAGATAAACCTGCAGCCAGTGATGAATAAACTGGGATGTTAAGAAAGCACCAGCCTCAGCAGGATTTGCTCCAGTTGTCTCTGAGTTCGAAACTAGCTACAATCCAAATTTTCATTTCAACTTCAATCTCCTCATAAAAGGTGTAATTATTCTCCAAGAAATCACTAGCCACTGACTAGATTTATTCAAATACCATTGGCAATGGGTATTTTCAATGTGACTGCCAGAAACTCTTACTCTGTTGAAGAATTCTATCAACATTAACAAATGTGCTAGATCCTGTGTTTTGTTAAAACACTTCAGAATCTCAGTTTGCACTGGAAGATCATTATTTTCAATCTCCTTTTGACAAACAAAAGACGTGACAGTAGAACTAGGAATTAAAAGCTACAAAGAGAGCAAGTTACACTGGGTGCACGACTAGACAATTCCATAGTCATCCGTCTTGGCTAGGCAGTGAACAAATGAAATCACTACGTAACTCCATAGTTTCACATTTGATACTGGACATAGAGTCGATATTATCTTGGTCGTGTTGTGTTCTCTGAGCTGGGTTGTTTAATCGTGAAGCTTTCATCGTCTCTCTAGACAAAATCATCACCACTAACTTCAGTATGAAGTGAGCTGTCAATATCTCTCCTTGAGTGATTTCGTAGATTGCTTTGGCGATATGGTCTGTGATTGGTTGTTTCCTTCGATTGTTGTCATTAATTGCACGGATCCTTCTGTTGGCTGTTCCTCTGCATGAACTCTGACCTATCTGTCGTTCATTATTTCTTCTCATTGGTTGATAGATTGGGTCTATGTCTGTATATTTATTGATTGCTGACTGACCTGAATGCCAAGCTTCTAGGAGTTCCCTGATATTTTTTGTGTTTCATCTCTCCGTCCAACATTTCTACGTTGTCAAAATTGAATTCATGTCGTGACGTTAAACGTCACGAACTGGCGCTAGTGTAGAGGGTGACCACTCTGTCCAACGTAGTATTGACTACAGTTATTGCAGTTGATTTTGTAAATGATATTCGGTTTGCCTTCTTTGGTTGTTGCATCCTTTGGTCTGCATAATAGTATTTGGAGGGAATTTGTTGGTTTATCAGCCACACCAATTCCAAGTGGTCTCAGTAATCTTGTCGTGATTTCTGATATATTCTTTATGTATAGTAGGATGATGTATTTGTTGATTTCTGTCGATGACTTTGTAATTGGTGATGTATGGGATAGGCATCTTCTGATAAAGTTTCGTGAGTAGCTGTTCTTCTTTCGAATCAACATCAAGTAATTTTCTTCGTTTCTCCGTGAAGTTGTTGTAGTGCAGTGTTTTCTCGCTCTTTTGAACAGAGTCTGCACGCAACTGATTTTGTGTATTGTTGGGTTGTTGCTATTGTATGTAGTTGAGGATTTGATCAGTGTGTGTTTGCTTCCCGTACACTTGAGTTTCCAGCTTTCTGGCATTTGTTCTATTGACTTAAACATCGAGGAATGGTAGTTGGTTGTTGAACTGCTTCTCCATAGTGAATTTGATGTCATTGAAAACGTTGTTGATTAAACTGAGTGTTTTCTATATCATCTTTTTTTTAATGATGACAAAAGTGTTGTCCACATAGCGAATCCAAATTTTTGGTTTAATCACAGGTAGAATGATGGCTTCCAGTCTCTGCCTCACTGCTTCTGCAATTAATCCGGATATCGGTGGTCCCATTCAATGTTCTTTTCATCTGTTTGTATATCTTGCCATTGAATTGGAAGTATGTTGTCATACAAAGGTCGATGAGTTCCATCAGTTTTGAACATCTGAGTTTTGCGCTTTCTGAAAGGCTTGTATCTTCATTGAGCAAGAGGGACATCGTTTCGATATTATCAATACTTTTAAAGTTGAGAATTACATTTCTTCAGATCTCATTCATGTTTTATGAGTTCGTCTCTTATATGAAAAAGAAGCTATTAGGCTACATCTGAGCAACCCCAGCCTATCCATTCAAAAGGAATTCGTGCAGCCTGATTCTTTACCTTGGCCATCCCACGTCATTTATCTATATGAAGATGACTCTTTACTTGTTCATCTCATAAACAGGTTATCCTCGTAATTTTTATTACAGTTTCAGTTAGTACGATTGTTCCTTCTTTGCAGCTAGTTATTCTTACCTATTTGCCGTCAACAACTGACCATTCGACAAAGTATTCATTCTCAGTTCTTGTTAACCACCATTATGAAAACTATGGATTACGTAACAAGTTGTTCGATTTTTCGCAAATTTAGTCTGTATTTGATATTTAAGCTCTTGCTGTACTTTTCCTGACTAGTTACCACCCCCTTGATACCTTGAGATTGATATTGTTATTGACTAATTTTTAACCACTATACTGGTTGCTATATTATTCTGTAATCTTAAAATGCTAATCTTGACAAATAGTCGTCAACAAGGAGCTAATTGGAAATAACACTTCTTCGCTCAATAAATGTTTTTTTCTGAATGTTTAACTGGGAATAAGTAATTAAACGAGAAAAGTAGAATAAAAAAATATTACTTCGGAATGACTTTTTTTTTTACTTATTGCATATTTGAAGCCAGTTAACAGAAAGTTCTACGTTTGGGTTGTAGACTCGTTGCCCCTGTTCACACTTTTATCTTGTCCATAAGAGAAAATAAATACGGCAGACTTTTACATTATACAAGTTAATTAGTAGATTGAAAGCCAACGAATAATAAGTGCTTTAGTTCATAGGGTAGGTCAAAATTACGAATTATAGAATGAAATCTATTACATTAAAGAGTTCAGTGTTTATAGTTTCAAAAGGGATCAACTACCTAATCATCTACCTATCAATTCCTCTGTCAATTTATAATATTAGTTTGACCATCTGAGATAGTCGTGGTCTGGTAGACTTGTATTGATACTGGATGATGATTGAAAGTAGAGCATAGGGCAAGAGACCCACTAGTTGGTGCTTTGCATCCTGCGGCGGCCCAGATTTTCATTTCACCTTCAATCATCACTCTATCAATTTATAACATAGTGAAATCAGAATGGATAATGTCAAATTAATTAATTCTATACGTTTTATTGTCACCAGGTCAAATGTACAAATATATGTTTAATTATGTTAGTATTACAAACAGAACCATTATTATCGATAATAATATCAATAGGTAGTAAGAGTCATGATAACAGTAGTAGGTAACTGCAGTCAACCACACATGCACACACAAACAAAAAGAAATGAAAACTGGATTTGAGTGAAATAAGCCTACCAGCGGATCAAAGTTAACTTTTATGTACAAAATATATAAAATGTTTGTGTATGTATAGTGCGGTATATATATATATATATATATATATATATATATATATATATATATATATATATATATATATATATATACTTCGGTGTCAAAATGTATCTGTGACACAAGCTAGATATAAGTGAAATGGGTATGAAATCATGAAAAAACAAAGTAAGAAAAAAGGATTAGTTCAAAGATGATGATCATGATCTTCTTTGTAATAATCGATCATATTGTTGTCATCGTCTGATCCTCACTGTCAAGAAGAAAGACAAACAAGCAAAAAAAGGAAAGTCCCCTTTATCGCCTTTATATTGTTGAAATAAAAGAAAACAGTCGAAGAGATGAAAGCGACTAAAATCACTCTGAAAGTAAAGGAACATCGAATAAGCCAAGTAAAATACAAGAAAATGTAGTTTAGGATAAAAATGCACGGTGGACATGCATAAGTCCACCCAACAAATCATGGCACTAATTTGTAGTTGTGCGGTTTATACTCATTTGTGTTTGAATATTTCTTCATATGTCTTTAATAACAATATTAAAATCAATTCTATTTTGGCAATTATTCACTTATTTGAAATTAATAGTTATCAAATAACCTTCAATATTTGTCACTAAAGTAATGAATAGAAAAAAAGCAACCGAATGAATAAAACAAACCAATGGTATACAGAAGGTGAACAGGAGGAGGGGGTGGGCTAGGAAAAAGATTCCATCCTATTTGAAAGACTATAAAAGAAACATTCTTTCATAGTTGAGATGACTTGCTTGCAACGACTTTGACTGTGAACAATTGTGGGCAGGCCGGGGTAAGGTTGTGTAGCATATGGAGTGTAAATGAACTAAATGTTGTTATACGAAATGGAGTGTATATGAAGATGGGATAAGAAAAAATATTTATATGGCACATTTACTTCTCCACATTGACGATTACACTACACCACCATCCACATCCAATAAAGTAAACTAGAATAATATAGTAATTCGGAATTTCGACAAATTAGTAAAAAGGGAGACGAGGTTTATCGAGAATTGGTGTGAAAATGAGCCAAAATGAATGATGCTTAAATTAAAAAATAAGATAATTGAAAAGCGACTGAGTTAGAGAGACAGATAGAAAGGAAAGTACGAAAATGAACATGAAAGAAGATAGAGCAATATTACACAATGAGAAAAGTAAAACAAAAAATTATAACACATTAAGTGAGAGTAATATAATGTTAAAAAAGGAAAACAAAATACAAAACAACTTCGAATTGTAAGTATTTTCTACTACTAACAGTAACTTCACGAATAATTTCTGATGAGAGAGCGGGAGGGAAGAGAATCATGACTTTAGACAGTTCATAGACATCCATGTTTATAAACCAAGCGTTTCGGTAACTCTGACATGAAAACTGTCCATGATCTTGAAATGTATAGCCGAACAGGTTTTTTTCGAAATAAGTAGCACAATTTCAGTATTCAATCAGTGAACCAAAAGTAAACAAATTGTTATTCTCTCTCCCTCTCTGTAAATATATGGTATCTGAAATTGTTCAGGATAGAGTTGATTTATTCGTTGACGAAACTGTAGTAACAGTAGGAGCCTGAGGGGCTCGTTTTTTCTGTGATGTCGTAGTAGTTGGGACGGTGATAGTTGTATTATGTGCAGAATTGTTTATACTGGTGCCAGTGGTCTCAGTCACTGAGGAATCCAATCCCAAGTTAGATGATGCCACTTCAGACGGTTTATTGTTGGCCAAACTTTTGTCTGAATTGGAACAAGACAATTCTAATTCAGTCCGTTGCGTTTCTGTATTATTTCGTTCAGATATATTTGTAGGTGTAGCTCTGTCTTCTGTCTGCTCCACAACGTCAACGTCACTAGTTATCTGTACAAGACAAAGTAAGTCAATAAAAGATGTTATTTACAGCTATAGAGAAACCAAACTATGAATACTGAAAATATTAGAAAGTCACCCTAGATAACCAAAAGATTATCACCTCATTTATTGATAGACATGAGTTTAAATAAGTAGTACTTTTTGTCTTACTAAGCCTTTTTTGGACAAGAGTGTTAAACTTATAAGAAATAAGGATATTATAGGTGCTTGTAAAGCATTTCTCGCTCAATGTAGGACCATTTAGTAAGAGAATTTATAATTTTACCGAACACTTTAGACTCAACGTCAAAATCAGCTGATTAACTGTCAAACTTACATCAAAATGGAATGATCAAGGCATCCACTGCACAACTCTATGCTTCATTATTTTTCTTTTTTTAACTTGCTGTTTGTAGATTACAGTATTCTTTATAATAAATACATCTATTCATTTTCTTTTGAAGTATCGAAAAGTAAACAATCGTACCTCCTGTTGTCTAAGTAGTTTATGATTATTAGATTTATCATTCTTTATCTAGAATAGTAACCAATTCAGTAAAACTGTCCTTACAAACTTACAAATAAAAATGAAAACTAACTTTCCAAAGATGCACAGTAACTTACAGCTGTTTCATTGAACCCATCATCGGGATAACAAATATCTTGACCTTCGAACTGTGCACGAGCTCTATTCGCCGCAACAACAGCAGCAGCTTCCATTGCTAGTACTCTTGGAGCTGGCCCTATACTTGCTGCAGCAATCGGCACATTCGCTCGAAAACGTTGCACAAGCTGAGTCAACTCTCTAGCTAGTGTAGCACGAGCTGAAGTATTTGACGTAGGTATTTGTAGTGTCAAAGCTAACTGCTGAGCGTTTAAATCAGGATGAAGACCGATCACTCCGCCATGCACACCAGATCCATTTAAATTTGGCGCATACTCTTTAAGACCGATCTCATCCAACCAGGCTTGAACACGCTCACATGACCAAACTAGTAAATCTATTTATAAAAAAGTAAAAGCAAATAGAGCGTTTGAAAAACTGAAAGTATGGGGGAAAAAATCATTTTAATGTTAAAATCAATTAAATAAAATCTTATCTACCAGAATATTAAACTTTCTGTAGAACTTAAATGGTGATTTTGTAGCAAACTGTCGTAGACATTTTTATACTAGCAAACGCATCTACAACACTAAGTTTCTATGTCATTTAGTGCGGAAAGGTATATTCACCTACTTGCTTCTGCTTGAGGAAACAGGTTAGATAATCGAACAGTGAAACCCAAGAAAACACAAACAGGAAAGATATTAAACCCCTCAATCATTTCTGGCAAACGCATACAAACCGACTTTGTATATTAAAGTATATGTGACACTGTCTTAGTAACAAAAAATCAAAGAAACCCTGTGTAGTATTACTTTGCTGTCACTGAATGAAGGATGATGCTAACAGGCAATTGAACTCATTAGGAAAAATTCCAACTACAAATTACTAACGCTAAAACCCCCGGCTGTTCTTTATTTCCTCACAGGGCTTATACTAACGACGGCTTCATAGATTGGGACCACATTTTGATGTGGTCACTCTTACCTTACTCCAGGTAACACTGTGTCGCAGTATACACAGTATGTGTAAAACATATTTCAGTTACATCAGTAACTGGAAGTTCACAACCTTCAACTGACTTACACTTCCTTCTCCAGAAGTCTACGTCTAACCTCAACATTAATGATTGTATTTGAGTAATGTTCCCAAAATATATATTATAAAAGACATGCAACTCCCCTACTTCCTTCATGTTTAATAGGCACGTTCCGAGTAGACAGCCTTGATGAACATCGTGTAATTAGTTGACGCTCTCATCATGGTGAAAAAATGACACAGCATAGCTCGAATGATACAGTCAAATGCTGTTTAGAAGTCAATGAATATAGCAAGCGTTTGGTATCAGTGAAAATACATGTACTCTAGAAGCTGAGGAAAAATGATATTTTCAACTCATCCTGATCGAGATTTATAATTTGTCTAGTGTTCTAGAAATCGCTGTCATGCTTACTGTCTAGTCCTTATGGTTCCAAATTATTTTTCAAGTAACCTATTTATAATTATCCACTGTGATCTATGGGATAAGAAAGGAGGTAGACGGAAATGACTAAGTATTGAATAGTATTTAAAGTAATATATGAGGGTGAGCGAATCTCAGGTATGCAGTGGGGGGACTACTTTAAAAATATATCAATCACTTATAAGTCCACTTATCTAAAATATCAACTCTTAATCAGTTTTCAAACTATTTTTGATCCGCAACGTTGAACATGTATAATTTGATTTATGTCTACTTTTCGCGCTCCAGTGAACTGCACACCTTTTGGATAGAATGTCGATCACCATCCCATCAAGTTCATCCCATTTTCGATTCTTCAGCATGCTTCTTTTGATAAGAAACTGAAAATTACAACGCAAACTTATACGTCACCTTCGTAAAATAACATTGTTTCCTAAAGTAAAACTAAAATTGTTGTGGCTGCAAATTGGCTAGACACATACATAACACCTGATTATGAAGTGACTGAATTTCAGTATGAAGTATATGAAGGAAAGTCGAATTGGTTAATACAGTTCCTGAAACAGTAGAATCTCAGGGTAAATGCATTAAACCACATGGCTTAAAATCCATCTCACTGACACAAACTTGCGGTTGAAGTTTATCACCCGGCACACCTCTCTCCACTAATTTATTTAGGGTGGAAAAAATAAATTGGAAATGAAAAGTGACTGGCTGATTCTTCTGAATAAAAGTCAATGTGTTCGTGTGGCCAAGATACTTTCTTATTGGACTAGGACACTTACTTGTAGGAATCTGATTAGTTGAGCCCAGATAAGCTATCTGTATTTAGATTGGCTTCGAAAATCATCATCACTTGTCACAGTAAATTTTTTTTAAGAAAGTAATCGCCATCAGAGAAAGATTAAATCCAAAACAAATTTAAAATCTTTAGGAAGCTTCTTTCTATCTGGGACTCGGCTTAGTAGATAACGCTCTGGAGTTTGAAGCGATGAGTACTGAGTTTTATTCACAGTGGGAACTACATCGCTCACTGGGGTGCAGGCACATCCAGCTGATAAGTCCCGAGTAGGATGAAACACGCGTCCAGGTAGTAGCTGAGATCAGTATGTATCGAGTATAATTTATAACGATAAGTGAGGTTTCAAGAAACTTCTAGTAACCTTTAATTTCATCCTATACCTAGAGTTCCGATAACCAGCATAAATAATGTTACCTTAAATTTTTCATGGCTGAAGATAATTCACCGAGGTCATTCAAAGCAATATTTTGTAAGCAGTCATCTCACATATTTGGATATTCGGATTAGTACATGTTAACTAATATGCATCAAGACTGCGGATATTGCAAACCATTTAAGCAGCTTAGTAACCAAAATGTTTAAAGCTTTAAGAGGTGAGTGACGTTAACTTAGGTTTCAACGGTTAAAAAATCAAGCCTCACTTGATTAGTTATTTAGTCACCATGACGTATTTGCGACGAAACGATGTTTCAATCTGGTAGCTAAGATTAATGAGCGTGGCTCAAGAATAGCATAGAAACTAAATGAATGTGATTAATTTGAAACAATTAGTTTCCTTAAATTAATTTCGATTAAAAAAAGAAGACATCACCTGTCGGGATAACGAGTTGAGTAACATGACAAAATATTGATGCGTGAGTAGCAGCAGTTGATAATATTTTGGAAATGAATGGAAATAAATATTTGGTGGAAGAGGGAGACGTCTAAAAAAGGCAGAGTTGCTACGATTCGTGAGTGTCGGTCAATAACCCTAGAATAGAAACTAAATGGATGTGATCAGTTGGAATCAATTTGCTTCCCTAATTAATTTCATTTAAACAAGAAGAAAATGTAACTTGTCTGAATAACGTGCTGAGTAACATTACAAATACTAATGAATGAATGACTTGTAAGTCGAATTGTGTATGAAAAGAAGTAGTAGTTGATAATACATAGGAATTGAACGGAGACATTCAGAAACACAAAGCTCCTGCTTTTTTAAAAACTGTAAACAGTAGCTACTACTAGCTACAGCTGACCACACGTACATTTAAATGAATAAACACAATGGGATGTGACTTTATCCTTCACCTGTTCAAAGAGCTTTGATGGGTACATATGTTTCAACTTTTCAATTATCCGAAACTTAGCTGGATAACATATAGTTATCATTCTCTGTTCTACACCTCTTGACGGTCTACTATTCTGTAATACACTCATTCGGTTGATAAGTGAAGTAGTTAAACATGGATAACCACCTCTGATTTATTTAAGAGAACAAAAGAAGTCATTCAAATCACATTTGCGATGGCCCCGAGAAGGGCCTTTGTTTGTTCACTTCCCGTCATGAAGTAGAAATTCACTTCTGGTGCAATTTGTCTTCATAGGAAATCTGAAAGTAAAGTGGGTACAGCTGTGTGAGTCAAAGATGCAAACTACCTGTTTTAACGAAAATCCCTGTAATTGTCATTGACATTACCTTCCTGTCAGGGGCTTTCACCACATGCAGGGCGTTCGAGACAAAAGCTTCTTCGGTGTGGATTCCATGAGCAGAACATATGGAATGTTGGATGACAACGGCATGCTATCCATGTACCGGCACATGGGATGGAGGTTGGTGCATCACTTTGGAAGCATTGTTTACATCTACATGGTCCATCTCCTCAGAGTTCCGAGTGACCAACTCTATAGACTCTGATCATCGGTACTGGCGTCTAGGTCAACGTTAACGTTATTTCCTGGATGAGTTACTGCTATTATAGGTGACTGAGAAATTGCTTCAAATTGAGTTATCGGTCTCCCACTGTGATCGTACTCAGCTGCAGCCGTCACTTCTATTTCTTCGGGACCACCTGATAAACGGTGTCCTGCGAGATGTTCTGGACTTGGGTCTACTGGAATGGGTGTCTTGCCACCTAAAATTTTCCGTTCAAACCAGAGGACTGTGCGTATACGCTGTTCATTGGTGAAGAATGGTAAAACCTCCATCCAAAGTTGGCTTTTTGATGACAGGAGAGATGCGGTTGGTTACAGAATGTAGTTTTGCACTGGCAAATTGTGCTGCTCATTCTCCCGTATCAGGCAACGGAGAGACACATCAACTGCATCTGGAGGGGTATATTTCTTTGCATACAATACTTAATTATATGCCTGCATAGCAAGATTTGCTTGGGATAATGCAGACGAAATCGCAGGACAGTTATCTGTGATGAAAGTACCCACTTTACGCCTACCAATAATATTCCTAAAAATCTCAGAAATGCACCAATCAGTTCTGATGTCTCACTGCTAATGAAAGCAAATGCTATGGGAATAGCCATGAAGTTGTTGTCGATGGCTACGAACTCGTAGAGAAAAAAAGTTCTCATTGAGTCTTGTGAATGACATCGAGACCCAGAAGATCAAGACGGTTTTCAGCTGGTCGGCTGTGGCGAAAAAAAGTATTTCAGATCTCCACCCTCTGTGACAGAGACGGAAGCCGATCCACTTTGACCGATTATATGCTCCTGCAACTTTTCATAACTACCTACAACAACATTGTTTCCAGGGAAAATTCAATTACCGTTCAAATTACACTGAACGAAAGGGTGATGACATGATGAACACATCTTGATTATTGAGTCGTTTACCATAGTGTGTATAAATGAAATCGACAACATTAAGTGTAGCCGTGACGGATATTAGCAATGGCCTTATGCTCTTCAATTTTACTCCCATCAACTTTCTCACCCAAGAATTATTGTCATAAAGCAGAGAAGTGCAGGGATGATTGTTAGTAAACAGCCACCGAAGTACTGTCCAGAAACCTTCTAAGAACTACGCGGGCTTGAACGCCCGGCATGAACGTTTTAGGGATATTCTAAGAAATATGTAATGAAAACAAACAGAATTGACCTTCTTGTCACTACACCACCTACTGACCGGCGTTCACAACCCTTAAAGTAAACAAACCTGGCGTAGGCTCTTCGGTCACCTTGCAAATGTGAATCTCACACAATGTAGTGCGTTTACGTCGGTTTCGCATACTCCTTCAAAGACTCTAAAGACAGGAACGCGGCCAGACAAAAATGGTCCATAAAGATTGACTCGTTTTCGGTTACAGCACTTCGGACGGTATCGTCGCTCATCATGAAAACAAAGCAACCCTTCCTCAGTTTGCTCTGTTTTATAGTATTTTTCGACTTCGTGCAACCAATCACATTGGATGTTTCCTCGTCCATTTTGAATGGACAATAAGTGATACAGGGGGTGAGGGAGAAGAGGTAGAAAATAACACTGAAAATTAATACCGTGGACCAAATGCATTTCCAAACTTGCACTACTTCCTCTCCGAAATGGTGAAACCACTTATGCTTGTAAACTATTTTATCCTCCATGCTTCTATGCCTTGTTTCTTTCAATTACTTTTTCTAGTTTACTGAACACAGTATGGTTGCTCTGCTCGGGTATATGACATTTTTATCCAGTATATTAGCCTATCACATCAACATAATTTAACCAGTCAAATAACCACACCATGGTAATTTGCTTGGTTATGGCTAGCAGTGGGATCCAGGGCGCACGTTTCGTCCTACTTGGGACTCGTCTGCTGGATTTACCTGCACCCCAGTGAGTGATATTGTTCCCACTGGGACTTGAACTCCGTACCAATCGCTTCAACGGAGATCTACAAGTAACTCAATCAATAGTAATAAATAGCCAAACTGTCTCAGAATTGAATTTTGATTCAATTGAGCTGTGTAACCTATGTACAGGTTAAACAAACAACTCAAACCCTAGTGACCATTTTATTATTAAGTAAGCCTTATCCTTTATTTACCAGTAGTATAGAAAAGATGTTATTTTTAAGTCATTATTTCAATCATAAAAAGTTAACGTACAGATAAAAAGAAGAAAGAAAAGAGACGCTAAATCTACTCACCAATACTATCAGGATGAGCAGCTTCACGTTGTCTACGCTCCAATTCCAATCGATCATAATTTAGGCGTTTCAAACAAACAATACCATACAGTAAACTAGTTCTGTGTAAATTATCAACCATTTTCAAGTGTGTCCTTAGATCACGCTTGGTCAAATGATCAAGCATTCGAGAATCAACAAGACATTCCATAAAAGCTGGACGATATTGAGCTAAACCAAGACTAGGAAGCCAAACATTACCAACCCATTCATGATTCATATCACCAAATGCAAGGCGACTGTAATAATAAATAAGAAAACGGGGAATACACAAGTTGCACAGCGAATAAACAATGCAAATATTGATACTTATTAATACTACAAAGTTTTAAATTTGTGCTTAACCAGGATAATCAATTTGTAAATTATTTACAAATTACACAGTTCATGTTGACATTTCTCACAACTGAGTAATTTCCTAAGTAACTGGTCAACTAGCTCAATGCTGCACTTCCTGCTGCAAGCCACCTAGACAATATCATATAGTGTAATTTTTGACACAAAAGTGTCGTGGAATAGCAAAATATACTTCTGCTACTAAAAACCAACTTGAGTGGTTTCTAGCTACTCGCTTTGTTCAGTAGTACATTTCGTTAAATTTCTGTTAGCGTTTGACAGAATAGTTCAGAAACTTGTATAAACTCTTTAAGTGCTGAATTTATCTGGCGAGATACATTAATGAAGTGGAACATTTAATTCTATCAGAAAAGACATTTTAATGAGTTCATTATTTGAAAATTAAGTGTTAGTTGAGCCTGATTCTTAGATAGGCTCTTATGTCTACAGAGTGTGCATGAAATAAAGGTGCCCTGAATTCAGTTTGATTATTAAAATAAAAAATATAAACATATATACCATCTCATTTTTTCTGTTACTTTCTAAAAATAAACTTATTTCTGGCATTAATTTATTTTGAATCTTAGGTTCTGTAGGTTGATCTTATACTAAAACATTTGAACTGATTCGCGCTCGGAATACTGATCAAAGGTTTAGACTAGAAATGGATTTGATTTGGGTGTTCAAGGTTTTCTTCCAATTTCAATTATTGTTCTACAACACGTATGAAAATTTAAAATGCTTAAATACATCTACAGCACTGAATGCTAATTATACCTTGTACTAGGTTTAGGAACTGGTGTCGGTGAGGTTAGGGCAACCATTTCTTGTATGGCCAAGCGTAGTTTAAGCCTATGCAATGGATTGCTAATCCCAATTTCTCGTTGTATTTCTTGTTCAGATAATGAGGCCATAATTGCACCTGATTTAACATTGGCTCTACAAGCAGCCACATACCAGGCTGGCATGCTAACCCAAAGCTAGGAAGGAAAAAATGAAAACAGTAAAATATGAAGTGGGCACATCATAACCAACAAGAAAATACAAAAGAATACAACAGAAAAGCATGTGTAAGGAAGAAAACCTATTTTAAGAATAAAATATAATCATCTGACGATTAAAAAAGCATGAAAATATATTGTTGAGCCAGATACATTTATGTAATTGTATAGTTTTCAGTGCATTATTGGGAAGAAAACGCTATGTATGTAATTCATCCGTTTTGTATGGAGAGTAGCAAAAAAATCAATCAATTAATACACAGAAGAAAACTTTGGACCTTACTACTATCAGCCTCATCTAAATGTGTTCTACTTAATTATGAAGGTAACTCCTTCTGCTTTCGTGAATACAATGGTTAAAATTTACCAAAAGATATTGAGATAAATTTGCGAATGACTGAGTTCTGTTACACGAAAATTCAAAGTGATTAAAAAGTATCCTAAATGCCTCGAAAAAACTATTGGAGTTCTAATTAAAGCTGTTTTGTTTGTTACTTCCGACTCAGTGGTTGAACGATAACGTGTTCGCCACGTGGCCTGTCGACCCTGGAATCGACTCTTCGCAAGGTCGTGGGTAAGCACTATTGAGGAGCCTCTAAACAAGACAAAATAGCCATCCGGTTCCCACAGGTTTCCAATGGCTCTCTGGTTGGTACTAATCGTGTAAGAAAGCTATTTTGAAATCAATAAATCGCTACATACCACTGAATACTTGTACTGAAATAATGAGTTTTGAATACGCAGATGAAGTTGTACACAAAATGAAAATTGTATAAATTCGAACAGCCTGGTCATCCAGACTTACCCATCATTGTAGTATCTTCTTCTATGAATAGCGATTATGGTGACTCATCTAAACTACTATCTCGAGTTACCGATTTATCTGCTCCTGTGAAGATGGTCATATTGGAGACAAAATGTGCATCTTATTTATCTCCAAGCACCATCCTGTTTGACTGTTTTAGAGAAAATAAAAGTCAACCAATATTTTAGAGTAATTTGTTAACTGTATTTATCCAGCTTCAGAAGTCTTCATTCGCAAACTAAGACCGAAAGTTCCACAAGGAGTGAAAACTTTTCACTTATGATTACGAAAGTTACTTAGAAATTTTCCAGTTTAACCCTTAGCGACGTGTTCGAAAGATGAATATCTAGTCTCTGATTTAACAGTGTTTACACTTCTAGCTTGACCTTTTCACTTACCTGACGTTTGTCCGGACAGTATCTCTTACTTTGGTGTGATGATCACGCCCGCAATTGTATTAATACATTTGAGTAACACTGCTTAAACACCACTTTTGCGAAATGCTACCATTTAGGAAGGTTGGTTTGAGGGCAATGAAACAAAGAGTAGTAAACTTGAACCTCGCAGTTTCACAATCGAAGGACTACAAGTTAATAATGTTGCAGGGTGAAGTCAGACTGCAAGTTGCAATACAGTGATAGAACTAGCTTGTTTCTCGGGGATAACCAACATTCCAACTGATGCTGTCTTAAATTTATCTGAAGTAGGGATTAGAAAACGTTAGTCCTGCTAGCAGTTGACCCTTCTTGCCTCACTTGATTCCGTTCCCGTGAATAAACGGTTTGAAAGTATAGGGTAAACACAACTCAAGAGGAGACTAGACGTCTCCTAAACTGTGCTATCCGTCTTGAGCGATTGTCCCCCCCCCCACCCCTGTGGTCACACCCCAATGTAGATAAGATTATAAATTCTAATCCAATTTCTCGCTCAAGTATACTGAGAGAAAATAAACACTCATGATATGAACAACAAGTAAGCGTCAAATCTGAATATGCCTCCACCAACGGTCAGGTTATCTTCCATACTATTTTCCAACTTTATCATTTACATATTTTGTTTTTGTTCGCTAAACTGTTTGTCCGCTTATTCTCAACTACTGAACCACCTCATATACTTAATTTTGAATGTCCTAAAACATTTTGTCGGATAGAAAGGATTTCATGCCCTTTCTGTCTCACATCGCCTTTTAGATTACTAACTAGTAATTAATTATTTTTAGAAACAACTTAGTATTCTACTCACAAGGATTTCGTGATAACGTTATGTCATATTATTCGTTTAACAATAGATTGCTTTATCAATACTGGTTGACGACTGGAGTGAAATTAAGATATGGTCAACAGCTGAGTGTCGTAGCTCAGTTGGTACAGCACTAGGTTAGTAAATCAAAGGTCACTGGTTCCAGTCCTGTCACAACCCAGACTTTCGTTTCACCTTCAATTACATCCAGTATCAATAATACAAGTCTGCCAAACTACAGCCATCTCAGATAGTCACATTGATAATAGATTCCACTGTTTGCAAACAGTATAAATACAATTTTACAGCTCTTGTAAGTGATATTATCGATTAAAAACAATCTTGACTCAATCGCCTTTTTATTCCGTGTAAATGATCGTTATTGAGTTTGGTTAATATTTGATAGGAATACAGCAAAATACAGAAACTACCTACTGCTAAGATGAAAACATAACTCCTACATAACACTGCTCAGTAGGATGTGTCTACAAAATATGTAATAATCCAAAGTTACATTTTGAATTGGTATAATTCACTTCTAATGCTACAGATTTATTAATTGGGCCATAGAATAATGAAAGCTAATTGTTCTTTTCCAGCAATGAACAGACAGTGTATTACTGCTTGAGTAAGAATTACTAAAAATGTTTTCCAAGATTCTTGCTTAGCAACTGACTTAAGATAGCAGTCGCTTCTGTTATACAGTTCATAGATCACAAACGTAAACTTGCATGCTTCTTAAAAATCAACCAAAACCTATGTCGTCATCATTATCAATATCGACATCAGACTAAGCATTATTGTGCAACGGTCCAAGATGTTACACTTCATATTAGCACGACAAGTAACAAAGCAATAAGATGAAAGGTGAAGAAATAAAGAAGAAATGGTCAAAAGCAGTAAAATAGAGGAAGGAGAAGCTCAGTTTTGTATAAAAGTCAATGAGAGCAGTATGAAAAAAAATGAAACCAAATTACTGTAAATCATACCTCTAGCCATGCTACCACAGTAGGGCCATTCCATTGTGCAAATGGCAATCTAGCCATCATAGCTTGCTCCAATAGCTCTTCTTTTTTCCATCGCCTACGTTCTTCAGGAACTTGAGGTGGGAGTGCTGGATTGGGTATTTGACCAACAGCATTACCCACAGTCATAGACATGGGATTTGGACTCATTATCCTGGTACTTGATGGATGGTTGATTCAGAAATACCTCCAGACACCGTGGATGAGGATAGTGGTGACACAGATCTTCCAGCGGTAACATTTGGTCCGTTACCTCCATCATCTTTCATTATCAATGGAAATTAAAAAAATCATTTTACCTAGCATTTGTTCAGACGAAGTAATAGTGACAACTTAGAAGACTAGCAAAATTATCGTTCTATTCAAGAGAAGTGAGTCAAAATATGACATTCATATTGCTTACGAACCAGTTATGAGAATGTAGGCTACGTAATAATTTAAGTCTGCAGTCCTAGATGAAGTTGATTCCATTGTAAGCAGGTAGCTCATCAATCACACAACCAGAAGCAATGCATTTCCAATTATATGAACCCAAACAATCAATACTAAGAGGCTGAGTATCTAAACTTCAACCTTGTTGCCATTCATCGCTAATACATATTTGCAACCCTCAGACAGCTCACAGTTATCTTTTGATTCCTGAGTTAACGCAATCCTCAATGACTTCAGACACATCAGGAAAAGCAAGACAGCTCTTTTATTTTTCTCTGAGAGAGAGTGTGTGTCATAAGACGTTTTTCTCGAGCCGTTTCGGAACTTATACTATGACGTTCATTTTTCATAAGATGGGCATATTACTTTTCAAAAAGTATCCTGAAATTCAATAGCCGTTTTCTTTAGAAAATAACTCCTATCATCTCAAGATAATACACTAAGCCTTTTAGGTATCATTAGAAAGTGCGTCATTTCTTCGAAGGTGTTTGACTTTACCACTAGAGTCCCTTGATTTCTTCTTCAAAGTTAGCTGCCAAACTGTCAATATGAATTCAAACAATAACTTCAAAATACCTTATTAGTTCACAGGCAAGTTTTATGAAACAAAATCAATTGATAGATCACTGAGAAGTCAAAAACTGGACTATTGTTTCAACTTTTTGTCAAACACCTTGAGAGTGGAACCAATTAACTTCTTTATATATCATACTGAAAATCTATGGTATTCATGATAAATACGTATGTTATCTACAAAATTATCTGGTAACAAGGTATAGAACCATAATTTAGTAAATTGAGCACTCGATTTTCAACCTTTCTTTACCTACCGACTGCTTAGCCAACACGTTATATCACAACTCTCCTACTCATTATGTGCAGGTAACTACTTATAAAATGGTTTTGTGTGCAATTCCTGAGTTCAAGGCCTTTTTATTACCTTATTACCGTAGTCAAATGACCAATATAATAAGAAAAACTATACAGTTCACATACCATACTCCAATCCCTGTTGTCTTTGTCTAAGCTGATACATTTGTTGTTGTTGTTGCATCAGTTTCTGTTGTTGCTGCATCATTTGAGTTTGGTTTGACATTGATGGATGATACTGCACTGGTGGTAGCGGTGGAGGCTGAACTCCTTGTCCGATCATTGGTTGTGGACTCATTGATTGTTGCTGAATTGAATATCGAATATTATTATTCATATTGTTATTAATTGGGGTATGCATCATAGGTGAACCCGCACGTACAGGCGAGGCTGATGCAGCCCTTATTGATTGATTTATATGATTTGGAACTGGATATTGATTTTGATACTTCGTGACATCAAATGGTCCACTAACAATACCACCACCACCATCATTTATATTGCTCGACTGATTACGTCGAAACAGTCGACCAAATGTACCCGATAACATACGTGATTTCTTTTTACTTGGTGTTGGTGAGGGTGTTGGTGAGAAAAATGACTGTGTTGGATCTAATCGAGATGCTGAATTAATTTGTTGTTGTTGATTATCAGTTATGTTGTACGTTTGACTTCTCGGTCCCATTGTACGTAGACGATTTTGATAAAGATTTACAGGTTGATGATACATGGGCATAGAATTCATTTGTAGATGAGGTCTTGTTGCATGGGCATATTGCAGCTGCTGCAGATGTTGTTGCTGCTGTTCGTAATCCCTTTGATAAAGTGATTGCTGAGTTAAAGTCATAGATTGATCAGAAACTGCTTGTTGTGGCTGTTGTCTGAACTGCTGTTGTTGATATAACTGCCTATTCACTAGTGGTACAATTTGTGAAGTAGATGGTTGCTGTCCTACTGGTTGACCATCAATCATTTGAGCACAAACTAAGGAATCTGAAGCAGCTGATGAACCTTCTTCCTCGGGACTATCCCCTGATATAGCTGACAAAGAACTGACATACGAAAGAGAGAATAACAAAATGCGATTTGTATAATTATCGACAAGTATTTCACATTCAACAAAAACATTTCATGCTGATTTCAAAATTCCAAGGTAGTTTACATATCCAATTGTTGTTACATCATTCGCATACAAAAAGTAAAGCAAGAATACTGGAAGTTCATACTGAGAGCTTTAAAAAATTGCATGCCACCGTTAAAAATAGTACGCGAAAAAATTCATCGTCACATCTATAGTACTTATATTTGGGAGCAGTAGTGAGAATTAGGAATTTCATTCATAAAACTTAAAGGACCAAACGATGACTGGTTCTCCTCTGTAAAGGATAAATCAGTTTTAAAAACCAGCTTGTCCACAGTTTCTTCATTACTACTATAGCATTAGCTTTTGAAGATAGTCTAGTTTACAGTGAAAAAAGAGCTTAATGATAGATACTTTTAAATCTACTTTCAAGAATAAATCGCAGTTTCTACAGATATGTTGTAAGTCAGCTTCAGAGGAAACTTAATTCATTGAAAGCACTCTAATACTCATCTGTCTCTAAAAGCTGAGTTATTTTGATCCCGTAAGCTTTCAAAATAAAATTGAATTCTTAACCAACGTATGTGTGGATGCAGGCTACATGCCAAAAAAATATTAGCAAACTAGTGGAGCTAGGTCATCACACTATTATATACCTTGATGATGGTACATGATCAGTTAGCGTATTAACAGAATGACGAAAATTCGCATGATTCAAGTCTTCATCACTAACAGACTCTTTGATCATGCATCCTTCACCAATTGCATCATTATGTTGGTCAATTTGTTTATCATTCACTTTAGGTTTGTTCAAACTATGACCTCTACGAAGGTGTATTGCTGTATGATTTGGAATAGGCGGTGCAACAGGAACCGACAGTTTTCGAATCAATGATTCATTGGATAAACTTGAATCTTGAAAATTGGGCAATTGTTGCTTAGATCCCGGAAGGACCAATGATTTAGCTACTGCTGCCACAGATACTTGTGTTATTGATTTCGTTCCAGAAGAATTGTATAAATTTTCAGATTTTCCATTTAATAAATTATCCGAACTAGTTCAAAAGTTAAGTAATAAGGCAAAATATCAAAATAATAGTAGGCTTTTGTTGTATAATATGGTTCCTATGAAAAGTGAAAAGTAATTATGCAAATATGCTGAAAACAAACAAGAATGTAGCATCTCCTCACAAAAAACAATCTCAACTCATTATTGGTATTTTTCTATAAGGAAAGTAATAAGGTAAATCTAAATTCACTAGTACACTTTTTTAAATCACGTTGAACGACTGATTTCTGCTCTCCTGAAAAGTCTAACTAAGGAATCCTCTAACCGATCCCAGTTGGCAGTGAAAATCATCCATATATATTTATATACTTTTCGTTATAAGAATCCTTCAATTTACGTTTACAGATATTATTATTATTATTATTAGTCCCTTGGGTTCCTAGTGGAACATAGGGCTTCAGTAGCACGCCTCCAGTGACCTCTGTTCTCTGAGATCTTTTGAACCTGGTCCCACGACAGCCCAGAAGCTCTCATTTCCTGCTCGCACGACCTCCTCCATGTCACCCTTGGACGTCCAACTCGTCGCTTCCCATGGGGATTCCACTCGAGGGCCTGACGCGTGATGTCCTCAGTCGGCCTTCTCAGTGCATGGCCAATCCATCTCCACTTCTTCCTGCATATTTGTTGCGTGATAGGTTCTTGGTTGGTTCGTTCCCAGAGTTCCTTGTTGCTTATTTTTTCTGGCCATCTGATCTTCAGCAGCGAGCGTAAGCAGTTGTTGATGAATGTCTGTAGTTTATTGGAAATACCTTTCGTGACGCGCCAAGTCTCTGAGCCATACAAGAGCACTGACTTGACGTTGGTGTTGAAAATCCGTATCTTGTTCCGCATGCTGAGTGCAGAAGATCTCCACACTGGTTTCAGGCTAATGAATGCCTGTCTTGCTTTTCCGATTCTGACTTTGACGTCCTCGTCCGTCCCGCCTGTAGTTGAAACAGTGCTTCCTAGATAAGTGAAGGAGGTTACTTCCTTTAAGTTTCTCCCGTTGACAGTGATTGGAGTTTGTTGTTGTTGATGGTGGTGGTGCGGTATCTTCATCACTTCTGTCTTCTCTATATTCACCTGAAGTCCCGTCTTCGCTGCCTCTTCTATCAACTTGTTAGTTTTTGCCTGCAGATCTTCAAGTTTATGTGACATTAGGCATAAGTCATCGGCGAAATCCAAGTCTTCTAGGTTCTTTTCCGTCGTCCAGTGTATCCCCCTCTTCTCGCTGCCTACTGTTTGCTGCATGATCCAGTCCACCACAATAAGGAATATCATGGGGGATAGTAGGCAACCTTGTTTCACTCCTGTCTTCACTTCAAAGGCATCACTGAGCTTCCCATTGTGGATTACTTGGCATGTGGCATCTTCATATAGTTGTTGAATGAGGCGGATAAAGGTTTGCGGCACTCCGTAGTAATGAAGCAGCTTCCAAATTACCTCTCGGTCGACGCTGTCAAAGGCCTTCTCAAAGTCGATGAAGTTGAGGTGGAGAGGTGATTGCCATTCTATGCTCTGTTCTATGATGATGCGAAGCGTTGCAATTTGGTCTGCACATGATTTGTACTTCCTGAAGCCTGCCTGTTCCGGTCGTAGTTTTGAATCCAGTGCATCCCTTAGCCTCTCCAGGATGATGCGGCTTAATATTTTACTTGGGGTGGACAGGAGAGTGATTCCGCGCCAGTTCTTGCAAGCACTGAGGTCTCCCTTCTTCGGCAGTTTGACAAGGTAACCCTTCTTCCAATCGTCAGGTACCTTCTCTTCCTTCCACACCTTCTGCAATAGTGGTGTGAGCATGGCCGCTGTTGTCTCTGCATCTGTTTTCAGTGCTTCTGGCGGTATTCCATCTGGTCCTGCTGCTTTCCCACATTTCAGTAGCTTTATGGCGTTCAGGACTTCCATTTTCGTTGGGGGATTAATGTTCACTTGTAATTCAGCGGCTGCAGGTGGTATTTCTGGACGAAGTGCAGGTGGTGGTCGATTCAAGAGCTTCTTGAAGTGGTCGGCCCATCGTTTCCTCTGTTTCTCTTCTTTTGTAATTAAATTTCCTTCTTCATCTTTTATTGGTTTCATCTGTGTTGGTCTCTTCCCTGACAGCAACCTGGTTATTTGATACAATGTCGTCAGGTCTCTCTTACCTGCAGCCTGTTCTGCTTCACTTGCCAGTGTTTCGTAGAAGTGTCTTTTGTCGTTGCGTGCACTCTTCTTCACTTCTTTGTCCAGTGTTTTATACATTGTGCTCAGTTCCTCTTGTCGTTGAGCATCCTTGCACTGGTTTATCTTCCGCTTCACCATCCTCCTCTCCTCTATCAGCTTCCAGGTATCCGTCGAGATCCATTCCTTGTCTTCCACCTTCTTCCTTCCTAATACTGTTGTGCAGGTTTCTTTCCACATAGCTTTCAAAGACTTCCAATGTTCTTCCACACAGGTTTCTTCAGGGATGTTGCTCGATGTCTCCCATTTTGTCTTGATGGCTGCCTTGAAGATCTCCTTTGTAGTTTCATCCTTCAGTTTCCGAGTGTTGTACTTGAATTGAGGTCTATCACCAGCTTCCTTGAAGGCTTTTAACTTGATTTGGAAGGTTCCTTGCACTAGGTAGTGGTCTGAACCTACATCTGCTCCTCTTCTTGACCTCGTGTTAAGTAGACTGCGTCTCCATTTTCTTGAGATTGAGATAAAGTCGATTTGATTTTTAGTGTGTCCATCTGGTGAAATCCATGTCGCTTTGTGGATATCTTTGTGCCTGAACACACTGCCTCCAATCACCAAATCGTTGAATGCGCAGAATTCTGCAAACAATTCTCCATTCTCATTCATTTCACCTAGTGCCTCTCGACCCATGGTTAGTTCTCTTCCCGTGTTGTCCCCTCCCAGTTTGGCATTCATGTCGCCCATCAGAATTTTGATATCGCCAACTGACGTCTTGTCCAGTGTTGATTGAAGTTGTCTGTAGAAATCCTCCTTTTTCTCTTGCTCTGCATTATTTGTAGGTGCATAACATTGTATGATTGTGACCTTTCTTCCTTTTGAGTTGAATCTTGCTGTCATGATCCTGGAGGAGATTGGTTCCCACTGCATGAGAGCCTTCGATGCTCTTGAGGACATCATGATAGCCACTCCCTCAGTGTGCTCGTGGTTGGCGTCTGGGTGACCGGAGTAGATTATTGATTCTCCAGTTGACAGTTTGGAGAGTCCACTCCCATTCCATCTGCTTTCGCAAATCCCAAGCACTTCGATGTTATACCTTCTCATCTCCCTTGCAATCTGGGCTGCCTTACTGGGTTCAAACATCGTGCGGACATTCCATGTCCCCACGTTTACTTTCGCTTTCATCGAGAGAAGACACATCGGCCAATTGGCTTCCCGAAGGCTTTCACCAACTGGCGTCATTTCGCCTCTCCGATTCCAGCGGGGAATAAGTTTGTTTTCATTTTTTATATTTTGTTTGTGCTTTGAAGTTTCTTTAGCGGTTAGATTTGTTTTACGGGGTAGGGTTGCTAGCCCTATGCCCAACCTTCCCTCTTTACCCGGGCTTAGGACCGGCTAGTAACTAGTAAACTAGTTAACCAGGCGAGGTTTTTACAGATATGGTCAGTTTTTAATTTTAGATTATCAACGTTTTTGTTGGACATAACAACTTACAATAAAGATATCAAACGCTCCTTTCATCACTAGCGATCAACGAAAGCTACTCGTTTATACTTGTGTAATGTTTTATTAAAATGTAATCTCAGATCAGTCAACTTATGTAATCCTTTAGTCTATATGATATATTGTCCGTTTTGTAAGAATCATTATCGCGAATACTATTTCCCAGATGGAGAAGACAATGACAGTAGAGAGACACTATTAGTCACAGCATGCTAATTTGCACTGTTCAACCAACCAATCAGATACAGAAAAAATAGTACCACTGTTGTTCCAATTCATATGGTAGGTAATATGTGGTATCTTTTTTTGATTGTACAATCCACCTTAGTAGTTAACAATCATCAGTTGACAAATGGCATGGTACATACAATCAAAGGCCAACGAGTTATCACTACATCTATTTACAGAATCGAAAGAAAATAATTAACGGAGATACTAAAACCAACTAAAAACTATGTGACTTATGAAGTAACTCAATATTTCGTTCCCTTTTAAGCTGAAAAAACGAATATTGACAGAACAGCTTAACATACCCAGATGGATAACCAATACCAGTTGGATTTGGCATATTGGCACGATAACTATTTCTTTGGTAGACATTAGAATTAATTAAATCTTGAGGTGGATGATTCCCATGAGCGTTGATCAAATCAGAGCTTAATGTAGAATTTAATGTGTTAGAAGCTGGTAATGGCGGAGGAGGAGGCGGAGTAGCAGGTAGGTGATATTGTAATTGTGATACAGGCCGATGTGGTTGGTTGTTTAGTTTACCTTGTAATAAATCGTCAGATGTAACTAACCCATTGTTAACCTGATTTTCAAAAGAGAAAAAAGTCGAAAGTAAACTTTGAGTCCATTCGTTTTACGTTTCCTTGAACAATATAAAAAAGAGTTGCATTCATAGAGATATATTGAAAAGCATACGAAAATGCCTGCCACACTAAGACAGTTTACTAGTTAAGTTTTGTCAGAACAAAACTGAATGCTGAAATCAGTGATGATTTAATATCTCAAAGTATTTTTCTGCAATTCTGTAAATGTATGCAGAGAGAAAAAGGCTACACATTTTGTTTTCATATTTTATTGTGAAGTCTGAAGTTTAAATGTCAAGCGAAAGATATGCTATTCCACCCTGAATGACCAATAGTAGGGTCAGACTGTATACATTTAAACGATCGCCAGATAGTAGTTAACATTATTCCATGATTCTGGTTGCTACTTCAGAAAACATTGTGAAACCTAATTACAAGAACGTATATCAGTGGTGCACACAGCAACATTTGAAAGTAGAAGTGAAAACCATTGATTGGTAAAGATTCAGAAGGGAAAGTGTCGATTCAAAATATAAAGGGGAAGAACATTGAATGCTGGGATTTTGAACAAGCAGGATGTTTACAAATGTCAATTTGTTATGCGGTTTGATACTTTTATCATGACCAACAGTAATTTTTTGATAAACGTTTTTGCCGCTCCACTGAACTCTTCAATACGACTAACAAACTTAGTGATACAAGGAAATTTAAGATCAGGGAGTACTAAGTAACTTTTTTCTCCCAGTTTGGAAACTTTTTTATGAAGCTTGAAGATAGATTTTCCAAAGCAACTGAAAAAGAAAATATATTGACGCAAACCTAGCCGACCGTGAAAATGGATGCATACTAATGATGTGGATTGACGTTTACTGTATACTGCAGATAAATGAGCTTAGGAAGTGCCCACCATGAGATTCATACCTAGTGGCTTTCTTCTGAAGATGAAACCGGAAGTTACTGACTTCGACCCTTCAGGGAATCACGAGTATGCAGTAATAAAAGGTACCGAGCTAAAAGGAACAGTTTTCTAGTGCGCTCCAACTTAAATTGGTTCTTTGGCTAATTTACTTTTTACTTATCTAAGTAACCTTATAACACTAAATATCCACAAACTGAGTTTGGTTACCAATCAAGAAGCAACAATACCAATGGATGGACAAGAAATATTTCATGACATTCATTAGGAATATGATTTCTTGAATCTTGCCGTTTGTCTAATAATTTACACAACCTATTTCACACAATTCTGGAAGGAAATAAAGTTGTGTTCATTTTATAAAATGTGTTAAGAAAACAACTATAGAGTTCAATAAAACTACATGGATATTGACTCAGTCCCATCATCTTTACGTAAAACACTAATAATACAAAAAGTTAAGCACAGGCGATCACCATACACCTGTACAACTGCATGCATCGTTGCACGAATCAAACATGAAAAGTTTCCGTTGACGTAATAAACAATAAATCCGATACCACAGTGCAACAAATGAACACATGAAATAAATCATTTATGAGATGAGGACAACAAAAATGAAAAAGAAAGAAAGCAACTTTTAGTTTAAAAAAGTCAGTCAGAAGAAAGCGAACTACATATAGTCAATATACCATAAGTAACACGCTAGACATGCAGACAGACAAAAATGTAAAATAAAAAGGAATGGAGTAAAAAAAGTATACGTATTTCCTAACGAAATTTATTTGAACTAACCAAAAATCTTTAAAAAATGGTAAGACCTCGTGTTTCCTGTTTAACCAATGAAACCACCTTGGCACTTATTATTCATTCCAATGAGAATAGTTTTTATGAAAACTGAGATCGATAATAAAAATAAAATCATTTTCCAAATCATTTAGAAATTTTACGGTTCCGGCTTTTTCTCTACTGAAGCATGATGCTAAAAATGTTTTTGAAAAGAAAACAACTCAGTCGTGATCTACAAAATGTCTAGATAAATTGAGAAAATTTATTACTGAGTACAGTGGCTAGTGGGATGCCCCAACCAGTGAAAACATTCTGCGCGATTTAGTAACTTGACCTAACCACTTTTGAGTAAATAGTTCATCACCTCACTTACAATTAAGCGTAAAGACCGTCCGCTAACTGCTTCAAATTTGACCGTTGCAATCTGATACGTTATATGAGTCATGTTACACAATATATGTTGTCTACTGGTACATCTTACTTTCTCTTCTAACCAATAAAAGACTATCAAATACACCGAACAGCGGGACAGTTTGTTGGGAAGCAATCGATTTAGATGGAGTTTACATGGTAGATCAAAATCAATTGAAGAACCACTGAGAACTGTAACGTGTAGCCTCGTTCATGGCAAGAAAAAGGATAGATATTCAGGTCGGGGAGATTGAATAAAGTATTTAGAGGATGAACCTAAGAAAATCATGTAGAAAATGCGCGAATAACTGATGCAAACTTGATAGGAAGCGGAATAAAGCAAACGTTATCGGAAAACTTATCAACAAGCCGTATAACAGTGATACCTAAAGTTATGATGATTACAATATATAAGCATGTAATCCCTCTTTCTAAATAACTACGGAAGTGATAAACGCATATTAAAGTTTCACAAATATCTATTAAAATTAGAATGTCATTTGCATAAGGTAAAGCATAGATCATTGGTAGTTTCAATGTTCTATTGTCTTAAGAGACTTAGGACATAATTTATTGAATTTACCGTGAAAAGACACTATGAAAATGCAAATATAAGTGTGTACACTTGCAAAATGTTATGAAATCAATGGAAAACAGAATCCAAACGAAGAAAGATTTAGAAAATCAATGATAAGAAAATGTAGACAAAAGCTGGCATTATACAAGAGATACAGTTCACAAAAAGACATTAGAATTTTTAATAAGGTTTTAGCAGTATTGAGAAGAATACTTGTTAAAAGTGTTTGCTAAACAATTATTAAAATTAACAAAAGAATATAGTCCAATGCTATTTTGCCTAGTGTATTTCATATGGTAGTATTCGGTTGAAAAGGTGTTGAACCTTGTGAAACCAGTTGTGCTTACTAAAAATGTGTGTTTAACTTTCATGTGAAGAAATAGTATATCCATGCATACTCGGTACGACACAAAGCTATATATCAAGTAAACCTTAGTAAAATGAAAGTTGGATGTTAGGATTTAATAGTTCCTTCTATTTTAATGGAACCTCTAATTCAGTTGAGCCAAAGTATCAAGTTCTATAACCTCGCCTGGTTAACTAGTTCACTAGTTACTAGCCGGTCCTAAGCCCGGGTAAAGAGGGAAGGTTGGGCATAGGGCTAGCAACCCTAACCCTAACCAATCCAATCGCTAAAGAAACTTCAAAGCACAGACAAAACATAAAAACAAACTTATTTCTCGCTGGAATCGGAGAAACGAAATAACGCCGGTTGGTGAAAGACTTCGGGAAGCCAATTGGCCTATGTGTCTTCTCTTCTCTCGATGAAAGCGAAAGTAAACGCGACATGGAATGTCCGCACCATGTTCGAACCCTGCAAGACAGCCCAGATTGCAAAAGAGATGAGAAGAAGGGCTGGATTAGGAAACTGCGAGAGCAGATGGAATGGAAGTGGACTCTCCAAACTGTCAACTGCAGAATCAATGATCTACTCCGGTCACCCAGACGAAAACCACGAGCACACTGAGGGAGTGGCTATCATGATGTCCTCAAGAGCATCGAAGGCTCTCATGCAGTGGGAACCAATCTCCACCAGGATCATGACAGCAAGGTTCAACTCAAAAGGAAGCAAGGTCACAGTCATACAATGCTACATTACGCACCTACAAATAATGCAGAGCAAGAGAAAAAGGAAGAATTCTACAGACAACTTCAATCAACACCGGACAAGACCTCAGTTGGCGACATCAAAATTCTAATGGACGGCGTGACATGAATGCCAAACTGGGAGGGGACAACACAGGAAGAGAACTAACCATGGGTCGAGAAGCGCTCGGTGAGGTGATGAACGAGAATGGAGAATTGTTTGCAGAATTCTGTGTATTCAACGATATGGCGATTGGAGGCAATGTGTACAAACACAAGGATATTCACAAAAGGACATGGATTTCACCATTCACCAGATGGACACACTGTACTAAAAATCAGATCAACTTTATCTCAATCTCAAGAAAATGGAGACAGCCTACTTGACACAAGGTCAAGAAGAGGAGCAGATGTAGGCTTACACTACTCACTATCTAGTGCAAGGAACCTTCCAAATCAAGTTAAAAGCTTTCAAGGAATCTGGTGATAGACCACAGTTCAAGTACAACACTCGGAAACTGAAGGATAAAACTACAAAGGACATCTTCATGTCAGCCATCAAGACAAAATGGGAGATATCGAGGAACATCCCTGAAGAAACCTGTGTGGAAGAACACTGGAAGTCTTTGAAAGAGTTGTGGAAAGAAACCTGCACAGCAGTATTAGGAAGGAAGAAGAAAGAAGATAAGGAATGGATCTCAATGGATACATGGAAGCTGATAGAGCAGGTAGAAGTGGATGGTGAAGCAAAAGATAAACCAGTGCAAGGATGCTCAACAACAAGAGGAACTGAGTACAATGTATAAAACACTTCACTGGACAAAGAAGTGAAGAAGAGTGCACGGAAAGACAAAAGACACTTCTACGACACACTGGCAATTGAAGCAGAACAGGCTGCTGGTAGGAGAGATAGAGACCTGACAACATTGTATCAAATAACCAGGTTACTATCCATTTGGAAAGAGATCAACGCAGATGAAACCAATAAAAGATGATGAAGGAAATTTAATTACGAAAGAAGAGAAACAAGGGAAACAATGGGCCGACCACTTCAAGAAGCTCTTGAATCGGCCACCATCACTACATGCACTTCGTCCAAAAATACCACCTACAGCCCAGCCACAGAACTACAAGTGAACATAAATCCTCCAACAAAAGTCGAAGTCCTGAACGACATGAAGCTACTGAAATGTGGGAAAGCAGCAGGATCAGGTAAAATC